CTATTTTTAATAAACTACATATATACGTTAAGTGACTATCAGTTCTATTAATCTTATAATTACTGAACTTCTCAAAATTAGAGCAATCATTTCAAACAACTTGACTTGCTATTAAAAATGCAATATTTTTCCTTCTAATGTTTGAAAATAGCATTTTATGTTAGCTTGAATTAGTAACAATAAAATTAAATACTCGCAGATTTAAGTGGAGTTAGCAATTTTAATTACATTCACTATATTGAAATTTTTTTAGAAACTTATATTATATATAACATATACTTATTAAATAAGCCATGAATGAAAGCAATTTCAAAGTAAACATTTGAGAGTCATTAACAATAAAATAATATTTATGGTCTAGACCAGCTCAATGTCAAGCAAAATATTGGCATACCATATATAGGATAGCATTCAAAATAAAAAAAGACCCACTACACAAAAAAATCCTGTGAAGTATAATCTACTTCTACTTCTATTAGGACAGCAACCAGAGAAGTTTATTGGGATTAATGCTTTACGGATAAAGATAAATTACTGGGGTTATTAAATTCCTGAAAGTGATGATTTGGCTAATGCCCATATAATAGCCATTGGATGTGGAATAATAGGAATTAAAGCCAGAAGAAGTATTGACTAAGATTTTAGTGATTAGCTAAAAGTGCTGAATTAACACATATAATAATACCTAAAAGACTCTACTAAGGGGAAGTCTTCTTAATAGTAAACCCTTAGAGGTTTGCTGATAGTGATAAATAAGCGCAAAAGAATAATATTCAGAAGAGTTTACTAGGGTTAGTGGTTTGCTGAAGAATTGACATATATAAAATAATAGCCAGAAAAACTTATTTGAATTAGTGATTTGCTGATAATAACAAATTAGAACATATAGGATAATATTTAGAAGAGTTAACTAAGATTAGAAGACATAAGAATTTATAGAGTTAGGAGCTTACTGATAGCAATGAATTTGTATATATACGATAAAAGCCAGAAAACTTTACTTGAATTAGTGATTAGTTGATAAATATAAATTACTTTAGTTAATAATTCGCTGATAGTGATAGTGATGAACTGACAACTGTAAAATAATATATGGGATAATAGTCAGAAAACCTTACTTGGATTAATGATTAGTCGATTAGTAATAGTCATGAACTGACACATGTACAATAATATCTAGAAGGTTTTAATATGGTTAGTGATTTGTTGATAGTAATGAATTGACACATAAAATAGAATTGAATACGAAGATCCGATAAAAAAATACATAAAGGATAGAGTAAAGATAAAGGATAGAGAAATTATTTGCGAAAACTGACAGACTTACCAACGCCGCGTTATCGAATCCCAGAATGGTTACAGGCTCCTCGGGGAGGTATGCAGATCTAAGGTCAATTTTTACTTAGTGATAATTTAATTTACTTAGTGATGATGAAGTGATAAACATTAATCCAAACAAGGCGTAAAGAGGAGTTTTGAAGATACCTCGAGTTAATAAAGAGTAAAAGTGCTCAAGTGCACTGGCTCAAATATCTTCAACATAGGCGAAAAGTTTGGTAGGGTAAGTTGTTTGGTATTTGTGATAAATTGATCAATTATTATAAATATACAAAACAGTGTTAAAAAATTCCAAAAGGGGAACTAAACTCAGTTAACATTATTTTGTGGCTTGTATAACTCGACAAATGGCTACTGGATAAACATTAGATGGGTGCACCCTCTTTGGAATATTTTAGAAGTTGTGAAGCGTAGCTAATAATATTATATTTGCAATTATGAAATTATAATAATAGATAAACGTATTAAGTCATAATTAGTTTGAAATTGTAATATAAAAAAAATATTCAAGAAATTTTGTTATATTAATTTGTCAATTGTTTGCAATATTTTTAAAAATATTTTTATTTTTATATTGTTTCTTATTATTGTTTTCATTATTATTAGGTCATATTAATAAAATAATCGATAAACACAACTAAATTAATATTTTTATTTTTCCATATATTTTTTTTGTTTTAATTTTTGTTTTTAATTATCATAAATATTGCTGTTATTTTTATTAACATAATTTTTATTGTTCATAAAAATTGATTACTGTTCGAGCACTTTTTGATATATATATATTTTGTATTTTTGCATTTTTTTAACGCTAATATTATTGCTTGAAAGTATTTTTATTATTAAATTTCAATGAAATTTTAAAATATGAAAATTATATTTAAGTTAATAGAGTATTATTGATTTCCATTATATTTCATATTTATTTATAAAATACATATTATTTTATTATAATTATTTCTTTATATTATTTTAATATAATTTTTATTTTCTTATTTTATATTTAAATTTTCTATTTATATTTCATACTTATATTTTATATTTATAATTTTTTAATATCATTTATATTTTACTTATATTATGTATATTTATATAATGTAAACATATTTATATATATTATATATATATTTATATATTAATATTATACATTATACTATTAGATAGTTTAATTACAAATTTTTAACTCTTAAAAATTAAATAATAGAAAAGTAGTTTCTGTGATACGGATATTGTTATTAAATATAAAAAAATATTAATATTTATAAAATATATATTATTTTATTATAATAATTACTTTTTTTCTAATATTTTAGTTTTTATTTTAACAGTTTCTTTATATTTTTTTAGTTACGTTTATTTTAATAATTTACTTTATTATTGATATTTAATAATTAAAAACTCCACTCAATATTATTATTGTTATTAAATATAAAAAATTATTAATATAAAAATATATTATATTAATAATTTTAGAATTATTCCTTATTTTTAAAGTTTTTAGTTATTAGTTTAACAATTTATTTAAAGTTTTTTTAGTTATGTTTATTTTTTTATAATTAAACTTTTTTATTGATACTTAATAATTAAAAACTCCAACTATTATTATTATTCGATTAGAGTGTATTGAATTAAAATAATTTATTGTGATCTAAATACCCTAATTTACCAGAAGCGTTAATCCTTCTTATTACCTTTATATTGTATATATTAATATCATTATTTTTATCATTATATCAATAATATCATTATTTGTTTTATTAAATTAATTTTTAATTTTGTTATTGTATTAAAAGTTTTTTATATAATTTATTATTTTTATATTATTTTTTAATATATTTATATAGTAATATCATTATTCTTATACTTTAATTTTATTTTTATTTGTTTTTTTAAAGTAGTTTATATTGCTTATATTTATTAGTTTTTGTTTAAATTAATTATTTTTTATTATTATTTATTATATCTATATATTAATACCATTACCCTTACCTTTTTATTTTATTGTTTTTTTTTGCTTCTTTAAGTAAATAATATTATTATTTGTTGTTATAACTTATTAATTTTTATTAAAAAATTTTTTTTTACATTATTATTACTTTGTATTGTTATAGTTTTATTTTTACTGTTATTATTTTTTTTATCATTATTATTTTTATTATCATTATTTAATATTATTTATTCTTTTTTATTCATATAAAAAAATATTGCAATATAAATATATTATGATTATATATATTAATTTATAGAACACTATAAAATATATATTATATTATTATTAGTATTACTATTTTTTTATTATTACTATTTATCATTATTATTATTTATTATTATTATTTATTATTTTTATTTATTATCATTTTTTATCACTATTTGCTAGTATTTTTTATTGTTGATATTTCTTAATTTTTTTTAGTATATTTCTTTGTTATTAGTTTTATTAATTTTTTACTGTTATTATTATTTAGTATCATTATTATTATTTATTATTATCATTTATTATATATAATTTATTATTATTATTTTTTCTTAATTTTTATTAATACTTTACATTGTTATTAAGTCGTATGAATTTTTTATTGTTATTATTATTTACTATCATTATTATTATTTATTATTAGCATTTATTATTATCATTTGTTGTTATCATTTATTATTATTTATTATTTTATAACTAGTATTTCATTGTCGGAATTATCTTTTGAATTTTTTTTATACTATTAACTTATGTTATTAATGTTTTTTTTATTTTTACGTTTGTTAATTTTTTATTAATTTTTTTTAAAATTTTGTAATATATCACAATTTAATTTTGGGAGTTTTTTACATAAATACTTCATTTTATTATTTTTTTTAATTATTATATATGTTGATTTTGATGAAAGTATTTGTTTCTTTTTCATTAACATAGGAATGAAGACATAAATGATATTTAAATTTTTTATTAAATTCTTTTTTATTATATATAAGCAGAAGCAGAAGTAAATAATAAAAAACATTAAATTATTTTTAAGTTTTAAAATGCAGTTATTTTAAAGGACAATGTCTGTTATTCCTAAATTTTTTTATTTAAAATATTCAAAAATGAATATAAAATTTTATATAAAAATTATATTTTTTCTAATAACGTTTAATGACTTTTAGTGCCTTTTATATTTCTTAATCTTTGCATAAATATAAAATAAAAATTTTTACTTTGCACTAACACTATTATTAACAAAAGTTAACAAATGTATTTACTTGAAACTTAAATGATTGAGATTTTTTATCTTTTGTAAAATACGAATAATTGCAGTCAATACAATTCACAACGCAAATAAACGAGTACAACATGCTCATTCTGGCAGGATAATTGCATCCACGCCTCGAATCTGTGGAGTATTTGTAAACATATCGAATTAAAATTAAAGTTTCCAATTGATACATTAATTTGCCTTCACACAGATATGAATGAAAAAAAATTCAATTTCACACATTTCAATTAAAGTTTGAAGAGTTGCACACCCACCACGCCGGCGAGCAATATATACCCAGTACCCAGTACTCAACACTCAACACCCATCACACATCACCCAACACCCATCATCCACCACTGCCAACAACTTGATGAACCACTTAACGAACGCATTTATATGTTAAAAATGAATTTGTTTAAGTATCCTTACCGCAACCGCCTCGATAAATCCATTTTGATCTGCTTTACTTTTTAAAGTTATTTGTGTATTTGTACAATTGGTACAACACGCTTTATCCTTTCTCGTCCTTGTGATGTTAAATAAAAAAATTGTTGTGGAACACACATAAAAGTAGAAATGTTTAAATGCAGTAGTTTCGTTGCTTATCAAAGGAATACTGTTAACCTTAAAATCGGTAAATTAATTATTTTTCCGTATTTGCTGAATATTTTGCAATTTAACAAATAACATTGCAATGCAGTTCTTTTTTTAATTTTTTGTTTGGTTTTTATTTTATTTAAATTTTTTATTTACCGACAACGCATTTATTTCACTTTATTTCATTCAATAATATATTAACTAAGCTCAAAACAATCTCATTTGAAAGCACAAAGGATCAATTTCATTAGCACACAAAGTTCCTTAGAACAGGACTTTTACGTTCGCACATACAAATACACACCCGCTGGGATAGAGTGCCAGCAAGCAACTGACCGTTAGTGAATTGAAGCTCGATAAATGTACTGCACCGATCGCTGGATCGCTCGATCGCTTGATCGTTTGAACGCTTTCTTCGGCTGCCGATGCTACAGTGGCAAAGAGGCACACAATAGCAATACTCGAATAGCACGATACGAAATACCGACTACCCCTGCGCCTAAATGTGCACTTCCGTTTCTTATGGCTGCGCAGCAGAGATCCACGAGCCAAAAATCACGATCTTGCCGCCTTACAGTTAAGTAATCGTCTATTTAGAAACGAACGGATATTGTGCTTATCACGAACAACACTGGAACGTTTAGCTTCAAAGTTGACGTACACGTTATTTCACTATATTGATTACAATAACAAATAAACATGTATTATATATATATGTATATATATATTTTTGTATTTATTTTTACATGTATTATGTCTGTTATCGTTTCTTTTCGTTTTTTATTTATCGGAATTGCTCCAATTTACAAATATTTTCAAAGTTGATTTTAATTGTATTTATAATTACATACAAATCAGACATTTTAATTTTACTCTTTTAACTTCAAAATCCTTTTAGAGAAAAACTCATGCAATTCAAGAAGAAGCACAAGATCGATCTTCGTATTACTCCGTCAACGACTTCCAACCATTGCCGCGTTGTTTCAAACTAAACTTCAGCCTCGAGCAAGCACAGCACACAAGCGGGAAGAAAGATAAACGCTGCACATTTTTGTCTCTCGCAGCGTAGAGACGATGCGATCCGATGCGTCACGATCGCTGTGTGCCATTGATGTGATGTTGCGATTGCGATTGCGATATGAGAAGCTCCTTTAATATATTATATCTTTCACTGCAATTTGATATTATTTTGAAGAAGTGAAATTAGTACTTCATATTTATCAATTTAAATATTAATGGTTCGTTTAATTTTTTTAATTTAAAATTTTTTAAATAATTACCTTATCTCCAACTCTGTTTATGACTCTCAGCTGATCTCATTCTAGAAGTATTTTTCTGCCTAAAAAGTATAATTTTTGCAAATAAAAATAAAATCTTTTATTTAATATTTTTATAATTGAAAAGAGCCTTAAAATTTTATTTTTAAAATGAAAAAAATATATATTTTATCTTATAAAATATTTCTTTAACACAGAGGTTTCGAAAAGTAGTGAACTATAATAACAAAAATTCTTTTTTGTATTATTTTAATTAATATTCATATTAATTTCAATTTCTTTAACAAAAAATTTTTCGAATAAACATCACTTATCTAACTGTACTTCATGATATCGCTCTATAGGCATTTTAATGTCATTTTTATAATAATTTTTATAATGCTTTATTTTTATAATAAAAAAAATTGTATTTCATTTTTTCAAAATTTTTTTAATTAAAAACTTTTAAATAAAAAATTTATAGCGACAATCGTGGCAATCACTGATGTCATTCTAAAATTTCTAAAGTCTAAAAACTTTTATTTTTACAATAAAAAATGTATAGTTTATCTAATGCATTATTTTTATATTTACAAACAAACATCCTATTTCAAGTGTTTATTGTCTATACTTCAGCAGCAATGTTTCAAATTCATTTATATATATATAGATGTCCGGACCCACAATACCGGACCCACAATCCTAAACTTTTCACCTGTACTTCAGCAGCAATGTTTCCCATTCATTTATTTATATATACCATATAGATGTCCCAATACCGGACCCACAATCCTAAACTTCTCAGCTTCAAGTTTATTATGAATGTTTTCAGTTGATTTAGGACAAGTATATTTGATGCTTTCTTCAGTAGTTAGTTAGTCGCGTTTCTAAATTTTATTTTACTTATGCAATTCCAGGTCGGAAGACCGACCTAATCCAAACTGAACAAGAACCTAACCAGTCAGCTGGTTTAACGCAAGCGTAACCTACTCTGCACTATGGTAAATCGATGTTTACAAATCACTGCATACTAGGAAGACATGCTATGAGACTGGATCTACCGTGTAATAGCTTTTATCGTGGTTGTAGCTCCACAGATCAAACTGTTATTCACCTTACGTATCAGTAACATCATTGGCTAGGAGACGATTCAAATTTTTTGGGTCCAATTTTCTTAGCAACCCACCAAAGCTGTCATCATGCAATGTTAAAGAAATGGTCAAATTTATAGACTTATCAGGTTGATTCACTTCCATTTTCACTTGAATGGGGGAATTATGCCTTTCAGCGTTGTTCGTATGTTAACTACGGCGGTTGTTCCGTGAATACTTCTGGTCTGTGTATGAATAAGGCTAATCCGTAGTGTCGTAGTAGGCCCTTATTACATTATGCCATTATACAATTCTATAATAGTAGCACAATAGGCTATCATTTATAAACAAACGAGCTTTAAAAGTCGCAATGACTGTAGTGGTTTGACTTTTGACAAGACTGGAGACGTGCCAATGAAAGAAATTATTTTTCGAAGATCTATTATTTAGGTTTCCGCTATGCTTTTTAGCTAAAAGTAATTTGTTCCTTTGTTTCACAGCAGCTTCTGTTTATCTTCATCTTAACGAAAAGATAATGTCTTTAGAATAAAGTATCCACATATCTTTTACAATAGATTTTTTTTTCGCTATTACTCTAATATTCTAAGAATTAGATCAATTAAAAATATTATTTTTTATGTAAGTTTTTGTATGAATCAAAGAATCTAGTTTAGGAATATATATAAGCAATTATTAGTGTTTCTATTTTGCTTAAGATAGAAAACTGCAATTATTGCTTTTAAGATGTTTACAAGTATTTTGAAGATCCTATTTCCAAAACCTATGCCCCTTCCTGTTTAATAAAATTGTATATGTTTGCTTTATATTTATTTTTACATATAAAACATTAATCTACATCCTCTGGTGCATAATCAGATTATCAAATCCCCTGCACAGTTTTTGCAGCACCAGCATGCATCTCGTATTTCAGGGAATCCCTTAATGACTTAGTCCCTTAGTGTTTATGTTACTCAAATTAAGTGAAACATGTGTCGGCAATATTTTGTCGCACTTGTATTTTGGAATGGTTCAGTTCTCTTGTGCAGTTCAGCACAACACAGTCCAAAAAAGAGTGCCGCACTATGGTATGTTCATCACTCCCGTCTCGAACTCTGTATTTAATAGTTTAAATTATAAATATTTTTAGCGTTAATTACTGAGGCGGCTTGTTTTCCCTTAAAACTCACAGTTTTCATTAATGAAACATGGCACATGTGTGCGCACTCAAGACAACAGCGGCACGTAGTAACAGAACATGGGAACCACTCCAATCCGATCCTCGTTTAACGATCAGCCTGACTTTGATGTTTGACTTTTATTGCGTTACTTAAATTCTTTTGGTTTTATTCCTTTTAAAGGAATATAATGTCAATTACTTGAACGCAGAAATGAATTAGTTGGGGTGCCCTACACTTCATATAAAATTAATCGAAAACAGTCACAATGGGGATTTCAAAGAAAAATTTAATTGCATTTTTTGCATTAAGACACAAAGTAGCATCTCTAAGTAAGCACTTTATTTTAATTGTGGAAGAATTTTCCTTTGACAAAGTCAAAGAACTATTGCATATTCAATACCTCCTAAACTATAATTCTATAGAATAATATTTACCAATCTTTTCAACTAGAATCTACTTCAGAGAATATACATATTTTAGTATAAAGTTTTTCTCCTTTCTAAATAGTAAGAAATTTGATAAAATTAACTATTACGTGTTGGTCATTGGGAAAGCATTTTGGACTGCAGGAAACTTGTAGTTTTTGTGCTTACTGAAGTATTAACGAGGCTCTGTGCCATTGTGGTTAATCTTTAATGGTGGCGAATTCAAACAAGTAGATGATGCACTAGTTGCTACAATAAAGAGGAATTTGGCAATCGCTTTCTCTCTCCAACACTATAGACGAATAGACTTTAATATTTTAGAAATTGTTTCAGCATTGGTCTAACAGAGGTAACGAAGTCTTTGAAACATCAAAAATTGAACAATTTTAAGGAATTCAGAATAGGCAGTAGATGTCTAGGGTGAAAGTGTTAATAATTGTATCAACATCCATTTCCATTTCTGCATACATTTTATAAATGTGGCAGATATTGGCCTTCAGATGATGTGTTAACTTACAGTGTCCTACTAGAAACCCTGTAAAAATTTTCTATTCGGTCAAAACTCTATTTAAAAAGGCCTTGAATGAGTTGATGAATCTTATTCTGTTTTTATAGTTCAATGATTTTTTAGTTAGGAGTGCTTTCAAAATCATAGATTTTGCACAAAGTGTTCCTTGATGTGGCTAAAGAGTAGCTCAGGTAAAATTAATTGTAATTGTCTATCTATGTTTCTAGTTTTTATCAGTATTCATACATTTTTCATTAGCATTGTAAGAGAGATACAAGTATACAAAACGTGAATTTCAGATATCATCAAGTTTGTATGCTTTCCAGTTGCATGAGGTGTATTTTGTGATATATGAGTGATAAAATAGTACTCTGATTTTGTAAATAAAACACACAAATTTAAATTTTATTCCAAATTTATTTTATCTCCTTCAAAATATGCTCCTTCTGAAGCGATATACATATGCCAACGCTTAACCCAATCTTCCATACACTTTTCGTAGGCCCGTGAAGGTATGTCTTTTAGTTCCTTCAGCGAATTCTATTTTACAGATTCAATCGACTCAAAACGCTTACCACGAAGGGCCAATTTGAGTTTCGGGAACAGGTCAAAAAATCGC